GTATTTTTACAGTCTTTATTTTACAGTTAAAGTATATGTTTATCAAATAAAGTCTAATGTTACAACTAATCGGGGATCCCTTTAAAACATTTTGTTTCATTTTGTTTCTTTTAAGACAATTAGTTTTTGTACAGACTAATTATCTTTAAAAAGCAGAACAGTCTGCAGAAATCTCAGCACACAGGAGACAAAACAGAACATTGGAGCCATCAGGAAACGCTGCATTAAAAAGAAATAATTGTGCAAAAACCACTTGAAGCTCAGGAAGAACTCTCTGCAGAGACATTTTACTGCTGCACAATATGCACCACTCTAAAAACAAGAAAATGTTAGGAGTAGGTTGTTTGTATGCTTTGTGGAAAACAGATACACATTTTTAGTGCATTGCATTTTTTTTACACATTCTAGAGTAAGAATGCTTGAAGATTAGAAGAGATCACACTTATAAGTTTCTGCTCACTAAATATCGAAGAGGCCACAAAAATCATGCACCACACCCTCTCTGAGCCCTCCAGGCTGAAGAACTCAGGAGCCAGCTGGCTTTTAATCAGCACTTAGTTCAACAACCAGTGTTCATGATGTTATCGAGGTGTTTTTATTGCTTTTAGCAAGAGTACCTGTGCAACTAAACAGCAACAACACTCGGTCATAAATACAGAGTTTGGAGCAACGTGATCTCATCTCACAGAAGGCTTTTCCTGTCTGCTTCTGCACTTCATCAGATATGTCAATCTCTAAAAAAATAGTTTGATTCATTTAAAAATAAAACCTCTGGAGTAATGGAAAACCAGGAAGGAACTCTAAAAAGGGCTTGATTTCTACATAAAATTTTGTCTCATCGATTCCTGAGTGCTGAGAATGTGGAGGAAGAGGTGATGTAAGATGTTGGTAAACATGGTTAGTCATGCTTTTCTTTTTTGATTTCCCCCTTTTCCCTGAAATAAACAGCTGTTTTTACCTTTGTAGAAATGAGAACTGAGAAAACGACATCATAATTCACCAATAAGTTATGTGAAAATTTAAATAACGACATTGATTCCTGGGTTGCAGTCTCGTGACCCGGATGATGAGTAAAATTCAGATGGGGAGCAGGAAGTGATTTGCTCTGGTTCAAAACAGTGAAATAGATCACAGTGAGTACACTCATGCTCTAAATGGGCTCGTGTAAATGAGATATCGCAAAAAAAAAATACACGTACATTTAGGATCTGATTCAAATTGTCTTAATAAAAAAGACGTCATACAATCTGTAGGATTGACATAAACTATCTGGTGCTGCAGAGCTCGTATTATGAAAGCTTTCAAAAGCCTCAAAGCTACAATTATTTAGTTTCAGGTTGGGTCAAACATTTAGGATCCAAAGAAGCTTTAAATTTCTGTCGACTTGTTTCGCCCGGGTGAAGAGTGACTAATTTAAATAATTAGCAAAAAGAAAAAATAAGTAGGTCCTCTGGATGGGTTCTTCTTTAGTGAAACGTTTCGTCTCTCCTCCAAGAGACTTCTTCAGTCTGATGAGTTTCAGGTGAACTCAGCCTTATAAGCACTGCCTCCACCTGGACAAAAAGGTTAGTCACATGCAAAAGAGGGCCATCGCCTAACAATAGGCTTGATTAGCTCTACTGTTCATAGAGGGTCATGTGCCCCATCACCTGACCCGTGTCGTGTTATG